AGATTTGTAAATATCTTTGGAAGAGTATTACTCTGTAGTGAATTTTCAGACTTCAGAAGCTTTGCATTATTTGGTCTTTTGGAGGATTATTACTCCGGAGGTAAGGGGTGAAGATTTTGTCACACTCGTACATGTGCGTATATTTACAGAGGAATGTTACTCCATACTTTAGTGTTTTGTTGAAAGACTGTTCTAAATATGAATAAATTTTTTAAGAAGATATCTCTGATTTGTTTCTTCTTATTCGTATTACAGAGGTTGTATTAAATCATATCAAACTCTGAATTGAAACCCGGAAAAGGTACGGTGAAGCACAGTACCTTTTTATTTTGCTGTCCCTTACATGTAATTCGGGCCTTAGCTCCTGCAAACCATACCATAGATGTGAAAAGGGACATCTATGTTAGGGATAAAAATGTATTATTTCAACTCTTGTGATTATGATTGTGTTGGACTTTGATGAAAAACTCTAAATTCTCTTTGGAATGACTACATAGTCTATTGATGACGAATTTATTAACTATTTTTAAAGGTTGTGCTGTGTTTATTATTTTTATTGGTGTTCATCCTCATGGTTGCCACTTTTACTTGTGCAGCATTCATTCCTTATGCTTTCTATATGTGTATTTGAGAGTACTAAAGTTAATGTTTTTTATTGCTTCAGTAACAAATTCATAGAGGGAGTAAATGAATTGAAATATTTAGTCCAATAATATATTTTGGACTCCGATGGTAGTACTTTGCTTAAGTGTCATGCATGGGTTTGCACCCCATTGCAGATCTGATATACTGTAGATGCAGACACGGAAAATCGCCAAAATCACAGGGGAGTTAAAAAAACAAAGTTTTTTTTTAATTAGGGAGAGATTTTTTTTTCTTCTCTTTATAAGCAGGCAAATAAAACAGTAAATAGCGGGTTATTATATGTAATGTTTATATAACATTTTGCTTTTATTGCAGGCTTCACATTTGTTTTGAAAATGTATACACATCTTTGAAATTGTATTTTATAATTATATTAAACACATGTTCATAGTTCCACTTATTATTGAATTGCGAATGTATCAACAACAAGTAAAGAGAGTCTAAGATGTATATTGTCGACGTTTTCTGGTGAATCCACCAACTTTTTGTTCATATGATATATAGAAAGCAACTTAGTCATTGTAATTGGAAATCAACAAATGTTTCTTTGATTAATGTTTTGGTGGACCCACCAATTCCCCACTTTAAAAAATTAGGCATTGCTGATAATATATCTATTCGGTTTGTTTTTGGTGGGTCCACCAAGTATTTGTTAGTGAAATTAAGAAAGCCTAGGAATTTGTTTTTCTGCAGGTTGGTGTGTCCACCAAACGACTTTCTATATTTAGAGACAAATTTGTTGATCTTTGAGTAACATGAAGATTTTCGAATTTTCTGGTGGATCCACCAGGTTTTTGTTCTTGTGTACATAAATGTATTAAGTGTATCTACGTTATTTTACTACAATATTATGATTGCCTTTTAATTTTAATGTCTTTGGTGGATCCACCAAACTGCCCACTATTAGTGAATACGAGATAATCTTAACTTGACAGTGTATCATTTAAGAATTCTTGTGACTTTCTATTTGTATTTTTGGTGGATCCACCAAGTATTTGTGAGAGAAAATATGAATGTCTTGTTTGTTGAATTTTTGCATTTTGGTGAGTGCACCGACTCTGTATAAAGGACGTTTTTTATGTGGTTATGCAACTCAGTTTCTCTCATTGGGTTGTTTCAGTATTTTAAAACTGGTGGATTCACCAACGTTATTTTTAAAATGTTATCGGGAATTTCACCACATTCAATTTTTTGGCGGAACCACCAAAATCCCCACTACTGATAAATATTCTTGCTATATCTTTTTCATGTAATTCAAAGTATTCTAAGGTATTTGTCTTCGTATTTTTGGTGGACCCACCAAGAAGCTGTATGGTTAGTTCACTAATTTTTTGAATTAATTAGAGAATTATGTATTGTAAAAATCACTCTTGTTTTCTTGGTGGAACCACCAAGATCAATATTCATTTGAAGATATTGATAATTGGCATTGGTGCATTCACCAATTTTTGACTGCTGATATAGAAAACTGATTAATAATTTGTCTGTTTTCACATAAAAATTGGTGTTCTCACCAATTCTCAATGTATTCAATAATGGCAATGAATTAAAAAAATTGTTGATTTCTGAAATTGCATTGTCTTCATTTTTCATTTTGAATTCAAAAAAGAGGACACGAATAGAAAATCCTCTTTCTTAATGGAAACAGTTTTTTGTGTTTGAGGTTAACTTCAAATCTGGTAAAAAAAAAAAAAAAAAAAAAAACTTTTAACATGTATAGTTTTATTCATTTTCTTGGAATTACTTATTTTTTTAATTATTTTAAAAAATAATTTGACAGCATTTGGATCCATAAACCGATTGTGTACAGAAAAGCTCAGCGAGTTTTCTGATTTTAGTAAAATCCCTCCATTTTAGGTATTTTCCTGTAATTAGCCTGACCCTGCATTCAAAGATGGCAAACTAAATTTGACACCACTTCAAGGCTTGTATCTTGTATATATCTAAATATCATAAAAGCATAATTATAAAATATGGGTTTAGAGAATAAAATTGCAGATATGCATGTATTTAAACTTTGTCAGCAATGATAAAAATTTCAGGTATATTTCATTTGAAATTTGCCCCCCCCCCCCCCAATCACTTCTCTTCAGGTACTAAGAAACCTTTTTTTAAGTATTACTTCTAGAAGAAAATAGCTCACAAGAAATTAAGATTTCTGAAATGATTTCAAGTGTTTATAAACTTGTACCTGATTCAATTTTGTGAGTAATGGTTGTTTTCAACTCCTTTCTCTTCTTTTGTTGAAACACCGGTTGTATTCCTGAAAAGATATAAATAAAAATTATTTATACACTGTAAATTAATTTAAATTCCAGTATTCCATTTAAACAGCCGCATGATTAAGTTCTATAACGCCCGAAAGGCATTATAGTGTACAGTTCAAGTATATCATTGAGGGAGTCAGCAAGATTCCAGTTCCCCAAGAGCAAGTCTATTTCACGAGGCGCTTATGCTAAATAAATTTTCATTTGTTATTCATGTGACAAGGAAAATAATCACTACTTAAACTTTATTATGGAAATGCAACATAACGGATCTACGACGTCATGTGGCGTCACAATCTGAACTTTCAAAAAAACTTGTGCAGTTTGCTTTCCATATGCAAGAAAATTGGATCATGTGACCAACTGCATGTCATTGAAAATTGAATTTCATTATCATTGTTATCTGAGGAAATACATCAACAAATGTAAATATTTAAGAAATAAGGTATCATTTTTAAACATCTATCGGGATATAAATACGGGTTGGTCACGAGATTAAAATACATAAAGCCCGATGGGCTTTATGATGAATTTAATCTCGTACCAACCCGTATTTATAGCCCGATAGATGTATTAAAATGATACCTTATTACTTATATTTACATTTGTGACTTATTCATACTTTATATTTGCCTGATTGTGACTTTTAATGTGTGAAATGCGTTATTTTTCAAACCCAACGGCATGTATGTAATCCACTGAACGCGCGTTGACCCTTTATGACGTCACAGAGAAATTACGTCGAACGTTTATCTTTACGCACATTTATGACCTCTTGACCCCATACCTGTATTTATACAGTTATAGATACGCATTGCTTTCAGTATTGTTATATAAAGGAAAACATTTGCAAATGTAAATATTAAATTATCAATTTGTAGGTGTGGTATATACCCAAGAGTATATGAATTGTGTTATTCATTTATCCCAGTGCAGTACCCATCCTTGTGTATGTATACCTCAGAGTGAGTATATAATCAACATACAAATAATCATAATGCTTGGTGACTTTTTAAGTCGATATTAATATAAACCGTACCACTAAAAGCTATCTCTTGCTGTGGGTCAGGCACCCTAGCATTGTGTTTGTCAGCATTCTCTAATGGATGTGGACAAGAAATTATTTCATTTCCAAAATGCACATCAGCTGCAAGATACATAAGTTTGTGGAAAAAATGTAAAGATTTTAGAGACATTAATCATGTTTACATGGAAAGTTTATATTATCTTAAAAGTAATGTACCAGTAACAGCTATTTTTGGGTGTTGATCTGACATCTTGACATTTTCACACGTGTGAAAATCAGCATCAGCATCCTCTGTTGGATTTGGATAAGGAATTCTGGCATGTTCATCTGGATGTGCAGCCTCCAGTGAATGGGCATTTCCATAATGCACATCAGCTTAAAAATTTAAGAGTTCTTGAGTACATTTAAAATTTTAAGCTCTTCCTAGCTTGTGTACTCAGGTGAAATATGTGACCCATGGCATCTTGTTTATATACATGTTTTGGCATTTAAAACATAAATTGCATACAATTGTACCATGTGATATTTTACTTTTAATAAACTTCTTTAGGTGTAGATGGTGTTCATCCCCAGATGACAAGGGAACATTTGCATCTTCGATGTGCTGTGGCCTATTTTGCAGCCTAACAGTAGCAAGCACATTTCCCAGATCTGCCTCATCTGAAACCAAAAAGTTACATACCAGTAATAAATTGGATCCTTTAAAGACAGTAAGTATGTAGAAAATGTGTTTACTTTCTCAAGAATGTGGGTTAGGAATTTAGAAGAATATTAATGGTAAAAATTACTTTAATTTGGACTGAATAGATTTAATAAATGACTAAGGGAAAAATATTCTAGGATATAATATACCAAGCACAGGTATCTCTGGGTGTAGGTCTGATATCTGAAAATATTCTTCAGTATGTGAGTCCATATTTGTTGAAGTGTTCTTTTCAAAATGCACTTCAGCTGAAAGGTATGTAAAAGTTGTTGAGTATGGATATAATTTTAATTCAACATTCAGGTATTATCTTGTGCAGACAAAAATTACCAGTAACAGCTATTTCTGGATGCTGGTCTGACATCTTAGCATTTTCATCATTGTGCAACTCGGCATTGGTCAATCTTTCATGTTCATTTGTATTGGAATGAGCAGCACTTTCCTGTGACTCTTTCCTTTCATTGCCTGAAACATAAAGAGTTTTCACCATTTTTACATCTACTGGTTAGGGACAAAAAAAAAGCTTATTTAACAGTTAGAAAAAGGTGTTCTTTGTCTGTACACTTTAATGTCTGTCAAAACATTTTTTTCAAAATACTGCATAGTTGATAGTTCCCCTACAAGTTTGGATTGATTTTACTACAATTTGTTTCTCCAACTACAGGTTTTGTTAAATTGATTGCAGTTCAACTTGACTCAGAAAAAGACAAAACATTTATTTCTATTGTGATGGTTCAAAGTCCATCAGCTACCTTTCTCTACTTTTGTCAAGTGAAAATCAGTAGAGCTACAGTCTCACCGGGTACTCTTAATTCTTATTTATTGAAGTATTTCTAAAACTTTCTTTCAATTCTCAACAATTTGTTTAAGTAAACATGATAAAAAATAATATTGTACCTCCAGTATTGTAGATTTTCTCCAGTTTTCCATTCTGTAATCTTTTTATCCTCTTGATTGGTAGCTGAAGTTCACCCTCTGTAAATTGTTGTACACATATCTCCCATTTTTCCTCAAGGTAATGTTGGACATCTGATGCCATAGATTTTCGGAAGTGTAAGATCTGAGGCAGAGAGTGCACTTCACTCGTTGGACAGTCATGGAAGATAATACTAGTGTCATCTTGGCTCCACCAAACATTTTCTCCAAGTTCCAAGTAATCTGCAATCCTTTCAAGATGGCTTTGAAATAGTGACATCCTGGCACTGATAAAACTTTTCTTGAAAATTGTTGGACCTCTGGTTGGAAGGAATTTGGACTGCTTACTAATGATAGAATCTTGATGCTGAAATGAGTCTGGTTTGACTGGAGTGTTTTGCTGGGCATTATATCTGATTATTGCATTTTTTATAACATGTTCTGGCTTTCTGTCGCTGGTATTTAGGGAAATACTGCGCAAGGTTCCAAAGCTTCTTTCTTCATTTTCTGCAAGAATGGAGCGTAAGCAAAAGAGACGATATATTTCAGGAGCATGTGTTACAAGACTATGAAAATGTGATCCATAGAACTTTCTGCTAGACATTTTGATTGGATTTCCTATGACGGCTTTACAAAGATGGCCAAAAATGAATGTTTGGTTGTAAAGTCGCAGAATTTGTTGTGGATTTCTGGCTCCTTCTTTGCTGTATGCAATTGAAATGATATCTGTCAAAGAATTGCATAAGTCGACAACTTGCTCACTAACTTTTCCCTCACTATGCTTTGTCTGTGTGAACTTTGTTAACTTTATGGCATACAATCTGGCGTCTGACCCCCTGATTTGATTTCTATCTCCAATTGTGGTATTGCTAAATATCTCATATTCTTTCTGCATTGATTTGTTTGATAGATGGTAAGGAAGCTCTGCAATTAAGTTGGTGACCATGTTTGAGATATCATGAAGTGGCTCGCACATTAACACTTCATACTTTTGTAGATTTAGATCTTTTCCAGGATTTTGACTTTCCATACTTGTACAGAAGAGGGCAGGTGGCCTTTGTATTCCCTCCAAGTGTTCCGCTAATTGTTTAGAAACGCTCTCTTTTCTCGTGTCCAGAATATCCAGCCTGCGTTCATCTAGCTCATCAATAATTTGTTGGACTTTGAGGTGTGCAAATGGGTTCGGATTAGTTGTGATGTTAAAGTTTTTCCACTGAATGCCATTTTTAAACAGGTCAAGTCTTGCTTGCAGTGATTTTGCTGGTTGTCTAAAGCAGCACTCTAAATTTTGATGACTGTCCACATGAACCCCACATAAACAACTGTAATGTCCTCCCCTTTGGTGTCCTGATTCAAACTGGCGTGCTGGATTATCTCCACTGAATACAGGGAACACATCTTGATAAGGAGCATTTGTCGTTTTGCAGATTACAGGAGCGCCCATTCCTTTAAGGTCATCTGTTCTGGTTTTTACATATGTGAGCTGGTCCTTATCTGAGCTCCCTGATTGGCCTAGTATATAAAGGTGAGGCTTTTCAACTAGAGATTGAACATCTTGTTTTTTGTAGGGAAACTTTTTTCTGTACTCCTCGTTGGAAAGAAATACAGCAGGATCATAGATGCAAGAAACCATGAAATTCACATACGTATGATTAAGTATGTCGGAATGGTCATGCCAGCACTTCCAGTGTCTTGTTCTCTCTGTAGACTTAAGAAGGGCTAAGTTTTCAATGTGAGAACCAGTTTCATCTTTCCCTGAAACAGAAATTCTACATTTAGTATTTGTCTTGTAAAGAATTATGTAGAAATACAATGCTGCAGCAAAGTGTGGGTACCCTAGAGTTAATAACGAGTTCACTGATTTTTTTTCTCATATGAATGAAGTTAAAGAATCTGGGGGATAAGGCGAGTCAAATGCCCACACGGCCGGATTTTGTCGCTCTGTAATTTATTATATTGCGTGTTGATTGTTCTATCAAGTAATTATGTCTTCAGGGTTTGAGATAGTACGCTTTACCTTTCCTTTTAACTGTTTTTGCATACAGAACAGTCATATCGCGCTGGCTACCCATGATTGAATTTGTTTGCATTTTAATCATGTACATGTAATGTAGTCTTGAACTAAATGCATTTAAAATGTTATATACACATGTAGCTTGAAAACTTGTTTATTATAGGAAAAACATTAATTGACCGTAAATAAATTCATCATCTTATCTATTCATTTTGTTTTTTGTGAAAAAATATGTTTATCTAATTTTAACCTGAACTTTTAAAAATCGTGATTCGAACACTCGCGACAGGTAACTGGGTGCTTCAACTCTGCCGCTATGACTACTGAGCCAAGAAGTCCCACATACATTTCCCTTTAAATAGCAAACAGTTCTATATGTATAGCAAACGCACAACTGGACTTAGAGTTTTTGAGAATATGTTGCGAAATTTAAATAGGTAAACTAACTTTTTTATATAGAGTGGGTCTTCGTACAATTTTTTTGAAAATGGTGAGAGATACATTCTTCCATACACTTTGAATATTTGTTTACAGAAAAATGGTACGAAGACCCACTTTATATAAAAAACATAGTTTTAACATTCCATTTCTATCATTTTTACCGTTACTAAAGCGTATAACCATTTTGGTTGGTTAATTACAATCAATTTGTAAGTCATTTGATTCAAGTTTTATCTTTACTGTATGCATATGGTTATAAATAACTCCCAAATTTAACAAAAACTGTAATTTGCAAGATTTTATTTAATCGATATTTTACTTGCCCTTGCGTAGGCATATGACTCGCCTAATCCACCCAGATTCTTTTGAAGACAAGAATATACTTGCATGATTAGCATGCAATAAATCTTTTTTAAAAAGTTATTTACACTACAGAGAGTCACACACTTGTTAAGGCATGCCATTAAGTGAGATTCATGAGAGCATATATATATAACAAGTACATTAGAGCTGGAGTATTAGGAGTGAGCATTAGCTCATCGAAATTTGTTGTTGTATGCATAGAACTTAAATTTTAATTGTATTTATAATTTTTTATAGGATGTGTCATTGAAGGAATTGGAAGGATTTTGAAGAGGGAATGTACAGAAGGGGAATATACTGATCAGAAGGGTATTGAAATGTTTTGTCCATTTACAAACATAACAGAAGTTGAAAACCTTGTGCAAATTTTCCTGATTATAATTTGTCTGTTGTCTAATCTGTCGGAATTATCTTAACTTTTTACATTTTTAGCTCACCTGAGCCGAAGGCTCAAGTGAGCTTTTCTGATCAAAATATGTCCGTTGTCTGTCGTTGTCGTCGTTGTCGTAAACTTTTTACATTTTCATCTTCTTCTCAAGAACCACTGGGCCAATTTCAACCAAACTTGGCACAAAGAATCCTTGGGTGAAGGGGGTTCACGTTTGTTCAAATGAAGGGCCACACCCATTTCCAAGGGGAGATAATCATGAATTTGTTAAAAATTTATGGCATTTTTAAAAAATCTTCTTCTCCAGAACCGCTGGGCCAGGAAAAAAGAAAATCATGTGGAAGCATCTTTAGGTAGTGTAGATTCAAGTTTGTTTAAATCATGACCCCCGGGGCAAGGGTGGGCCAAAATGGCCGACCCTAGTTTTACATAGGAATATATAGGAAAAATCTTTAAAAATCTTCTGAACCACTGGTCCAGAAAAGATGAAACTCATGTTAAATCATCTTCAGGTAGTGTAGATTCAAATTTATTCAAATCATGACCACGGAGCTAGGGAGGGGCAAAAATGGCCGACCCAAATTTTACATAGGGATATAGAGGGAATCTTTTAAAATCTTTTCAAGTACTTCAAAGCTATGATTAGTGATTTTATATGGAATCACCCTCAGGTAGTGTAGATTCTAATATGTTCAAATGATGAATGCCTGGGGGGGGGGGGGGGTTAAGCCCGATGTGCTCAGGTGAGCGCTGTGGCCCCTGGACCTCTTGTTGACAATTACGAGAATCACTAGTACCATTTTCTATCAACGCCTCAAATAAAAGGAAGAGAAATTTGACAAATGGAGATAATTAGGAATATTGGTAAACATTTAGTGGGATCTCAAAAATATCCACAATGAAGAATGACTGATCCAGAAATAACTCAGGTTTAATAAAATTTTGGCATTGTGGGGTAGGGAGGCTTCATTAAGTTCTGCTTTGTATATGCATAACAGGTATATGTATAACGGGTATTTTCTGCGGTTGGAAATTTTTGCGATTTAACCCCTAAAAGGAAGCAAAGTAATTTCTGCGTTTGCACTTTACCGCAAAAAAATATTTACGGGATGTATAGGATCATCAAACTCTAAGATTTATTTGAACACTGCAATTACTACGTTTTATCAATTCATTCAGGCACATGAATGAAACGTGCATGAGAATAGGCATTGCGCTATTAAACTACTAGCTTTTAGTCACTCTTTGTAAAATTATGCCTAGTCCTAAAATTAATTATTGTAGTAACAGAACTTGTTCACTCAAACAATAATCTTTATTCTAACACCGCAGTCGTTCATTAATATGATCTATCAAAATAATTTTATTAAGAAAGGGCTTTATGGAAGATTTGATCATGTGCCAACCCGTTTTACATTTCAATAAAACTCAAAAAATGATACCTTATTACTTATATTTAAATTTGTGACTTATTCATACTTTATATTTGCCTGATTGTTACTTTTAACGTGTGAAATGCCTTAATTTTTCGAACCCAACAGCATGTATGTAATCCACTAAACGCGCGTCGACCCTTTATGACGTCACAGAGAAATTACGTCGAACGTTTATCCAACGCACATCTATGACCTCTTGATCCCATACCTGTATTTACACAGATATAAAAACGCTTGCCTTTAGTTGTGTTATATAAAAGAAAACATTTGCAAGTGTAAATATATAAGTATATATATAATGATAATAAATACCTCCAAGCCATAATGTAAAATACACTTAAAATCAATTGCCATCAAAATTAATTTAGGAGTTTCATTTTAAACTAAAACAAACAGTTGCATAATCAACCACCCTAAAAATTGCACGTGTCAAGCGCATTGAGGTACATGTATTACTAATACTGTCAGACGTCTGATTTGAATGAAATTTAGGAGACAATCAAACCAATTTGTCCTATCCTCAAAATTCCGCAAAAATTGGACAACCGCAAAAAATACCTGTTATATGTATATGCATATAGTCATATGTTGATATTATTGTGCATAAATGATATTTTGATGAACATTACTGTTTACTTACCAAGTTTCAACAAGAGAGTCTGTTTACAATATGGAATGTATTCTTGAGGTGTACATAAATTTTGAAAGCTATAAAGACATTACACAAATTTCATTGACCTCTCGACACTAGTATTATGTCTTTTTTTTTTTACAAAAAAAATTGCTTCTCCGGGTTTTCTCAGATATTATGGAAATATGGGAAACACTTAATATGTATAGATAAATTACTGAATATAAGTGCATATGTCATTTGTCTCTAATAAGCATAATAGAAATTGCCATATTAAATGCATTTTATATACCCACCACCACCAAGATGCTATTATGCACTGATTTTTTTCAAAGATACACCCCCTCCTTTTCAGTCCAAAGAGGTTAACAAGGAGATTTGTAGAAACAAATCATTTCAGTGATAACAGGGTCATACTTATTCTCAAGTTATGCATATTCTTATTCAAAAATATAGGATAAGGGTGGGTCATTTGAACATTTCATCCTTGAGAACAACAAGGCAATATCCAAATTGAAGCATCTTAATGTTTTGCTGTTTCAGCATTGGTTAAATCTTTGGATTCAATATGGGTTCAAAATATGTAATGAGGTAACAACCTGCCAAGGTGACTTGGATGAGCTTTGTGGTCAATTGGCATCATGTTATTAAAGAAGGCTACTAAACAATAAACTTGGACAATTTCATAATTTCATATGACTTATTAATTTTGATTTTTAAAAATTCTAATAATCTGGTTATATTAATGTAACAACCTGTTAGTGAGAATTTCTTTCTGATATAATGTGTACCTTTAACTTTCTTTCATAAATATCAGCAAATTAAAGAATTTAGTTCATAATGATATTTCATCAATTTATGTGCATAGAAATCATGTTTATGATGCTTATTTCACTTTAGGGAGATGGACCTAATTTATAGAAAGCAATGCCACCTTGAAATTCAACTTCCTGTGTTTATCTTGGGGTCATTTGCTCATCATCATTGTAGGAAATGGATTGAACCCAGGTAATCAATTAGATTTTCATATCAGTTGGTTTGGAATTTGAATATCTTGATCATTTTTGCAAGATTAGACAGTTTTTTGGTTTGCTGGATTCTCCTGTATTGGGTACTTAGCTGACCAAAGATGCTGTATGACTTGCAGATAGCATTGCATGCTATTCAAACTGAGAACTGAAGAAGTGTTTAACAAGATAAACATTTTTGGAAAATTAGAGAGGTTTAGCAAACCAATGTGTACATGTAGCACCAGAAATCTGTGCATTACATCAATGCTTTTTGCTAATGACGAATTTATTTTTCAAAAAGTGTGCGTTTTTCTATAACCTGAATATTTTATACAAATAACTGTTAAAGGAACCGAAGGTATTAATTTATAGGGAGGTTAAATCACAACATTTACATCAATAAAACAGCCTTTGACCGATTAAAAATATAAGAAATCCGTACAATCTTTTTCTCATAAGTACATGTACATATTTATGTAAAACAGTGATATGCGTAGTAAAATCATTGCATTTTTGGATGAATTTTCCATGTTAACCACTATTACATTTAAAAAATTAGAGGTAAAAGCACAGGTTATACTTTGCTAAACAAGAAAAAAATGTTAACGTTTATATGTGATTATAATTTGTAGTTTACATGTACACGTACAAGTGAGCTTGCTGAATCTCTCTAATACTCATTACTTTGATATTAATAGAAAAATGCCAAAATTAGTTTATTAATATGTGATGTGTCTCTGCTTCTTAATGTTGTTGTATGGTGCTAAAGGCTGTCTTCTAGTCTTTCTGTATATATATATCAGAACAATTTAATGTCTCGGACTTTCATTTGAGTTCTGAATTTGAATTTATTGTTTCCCAAGGGAGGAAACTATTTCCAGAGGCAAAGCCACTGATGGAAATAATTTCTTTCCAAGGGGAATTAAAATTTAATTTCTGGAATACTCAGACGATAAATGCTTATTAAGCAAATGAGATAAACAAGATACTTGGACATTTTTTAACAATACAGAGGTATTCAAATACAAGAAACTAAAATTTTGTGTAATATTTAATGCACCAAGACCTAAGAAATTAATAATATTGAAAAAATAGAGTAATTTCACACACACAAACTCAAATTGGATTTTTTCCCTCTTAGATCAATTGACCTGGATTTGCCCCTGATCCTGGACCATTTAAGATACTAGTAGTCTACTAGTCTAAGACAAATCTCATGTTATAGAGTTGTTTTGTAATTGACCTCTGACTGTTGTTAGATAATAGTGTAGCGAGTATGTGAGCATATCTAACATCTAATTTTAATTAAATTGGTCTAATATATTAATTTGAACTATTTAAATAATACATTTAATGTTTAACCTACCATATTCATTTAGTTTCTTTATTACATCAGCAGGTGGAAGAGAGCTGTATTCCTCATCTGATGAACTCCGCAAGACTCCCAGAGTTTCCTGTTCCTGGAGTGATTGCTCCCTGATCTTTAAGAGAGGAAACTTCCGCCCATATACCTCTTTCTGGTCTACAACAAGCTCACCGGTGTTGCTTATTTTGTTGAAATCAAAAACTTTAGGGGCAATGCAAACACCGATATCATACACACCATCATCAATTTTTTTCTGTAGAGCTTTTCTGATCTTATTTGCTGGTCTTTGATGTGGCACAGCTAGTCCACGTACTCTTAGGTACTTTCTCCTAACCCTTTGTATAATGTCCCTACCACTTACAATTTTTTGTTGATTGAATTTTTCTGTTTGTATACCATTTTCAAAAGCAAACTGCTTAAGAATTTGGCCAGCATTAGATGGAAAAATTCCTGCCGTGTTTTTGATGTTGTATTTCTTTCCTAATGCTGTCCAATTGACATTTTCACCTTTGTTTTCTTTTAATTCAAGTAGAAAAGATTTTTTGTCAAATGAGTACTTTTCAAATTTCCCATGGTGTTTTTTTTGTTTTTTCAAACCCAGTTTTATTTTGTTGGAATTTTTTTCAGCAGATTTTTTTGCAGCTTCTGGTGTTTCAAAATATTTGTTCATTCTTTCTCTTTCGTACTGACTGTAGGAAGTACCTGTACACAAGAATTGGTCAACATCGTTGTCTGGATTAAACAAAGCATCTTGCATTTTGTTGTTGTTTTCTTTAAGTTTTTTAACAGTTTGTTTTTGTTTTTCTGTTGAATTTTCTTTTGGTTGTAAGTGGAATGTTTTTTCCACGCATTCTTTCAAGTCTACATCCAACTTCTGTTTTAATAAGGGATGTAAAGTGTTTATGAATTTTTCAACTTTCTTGTTTGTTATTTCAGGGGAGGTAATTTTATCTGATATGATAGTATCAGTAACACCTGAGGACAATTTTTCGAATTCTTTGGTTTCATTTGTAGCAGATGCATGTAACCCAGATTCTGTTTGCTGGCATTTCTGACAGTTGCATAGTTCATGAGATTTTCTTTCTGATTCAGAGAGCTCAAGCTAGGAGACTAAACTGTATGTTTCAATGAAAGATCTTTTTTCCCCAGATTTATTTGAGTTTTTGAAGAATTTTGAACTGGTGAGATAGGTTTGAACTCGTGAGACTTTGTGATGAAACTGACTTTTACTGATGTACATTTTTGGATATTTATGCATGACCTGAGTGTAGAATAGATATCTCTGATTTTCACTAAGCGTGGTATCATACTTTGGTACATAATTCTGTAATTGGGGGCTGCCGTTGACATAGTTGTTCCAGTAGTTAATAGCTGAAGAATCTTTTGAGGATCTACCAATAATTACTTTTGCGAAGTGACAGAGGTTCATGGTGAAAAGTTGAAAAATGACTTACAGATGGTATTGCATACTCTCAGGAATGTTCATGGTTGCCAAAAAAATTTAGGTTGAAGAATAACCATTCTTCTCATTGATTCTGCCTGAAGGTCACTCACAGAAGCTTGTCTTGGAATTTATAGTCTCCAAAAAAATTCTTATTTTTATTTTAATGTATCTTAATTTTTTTTTTTCATTTTTTAATTGATTTATAATTGTTGATGAATTTTATCAAGATGAATAAATTATTAAAAATAATGTAACCGTGTTTTATCATTATTTGTGCGTAAATTTATGTGTATATTTAGTAAGAAGTGGGGTCTTACTACAGCTTAATTAAGTCAGCTGAATATGAACTTTTATATACTGCAGTATAGAATGAAGAAATATTGACAATTTAAAGGGTTTAGTAAACTATTGGTAATTTGTGAAAGAAAGTGCTTTTTGCTTAGAGAGTAACATCTTACAAATGAAACTAATGAAAGGCTTACTTAGCGGGAACTGTGAAGAGTTCATTTGTCCAGTGAATAAAGAGATAATGAAGTGAAACCTATTATCCAAGTAAAAAAAGTTAATGTTTATTCAAATAAAGTAGATCTTGATTGCTTTTTGTTGTCGATATACGAAATCTTGTTTAAATTTCCCGCATTTATTACTTCCCCTGTTTCCCTTGATCCGGATCATTAGTGCGTTTGTATTGTCCGTGGGGGGTGAAAAATCTCGGATAGCAGAAATAAAACGGGATGGCGCAAGGGCATACCCTAACTATATGTTTAAAAAGTGGACATTTATTGATAGTCAGTTTAATGCTGTATATGGAAAATGCTGCGCAAATGTTGACAGTCGCGGGATTAACTAACTGTAGGTACGTATTTAAGAAAAGTCCATGATTTTTGTGTTGTTATACGTGTTTATGTCCGAATTATATATATTTAGAAACAGAATTAATGCTTTGCGCAGCAAAGGTGTGTTAGAGCAAAGCTATCTGAAAATGACAGTGCCAAGATAAAGCTCTTTTATATCGAGTATGCCCTTGCGCCAGTCTATTTTTTGCTTGGAAAGTCTGTTTCATTCATCAAAGCAAGGTGACGTCAGGTGACCCGTGACGTCACACGTAAACATGGTAGTAAAAGTAGACATCGAGTACTTCATAGTAAATAAATAATTTCTTTTGTTTCTGGTCAATTGAATAAAAATAATGACAATAGTAACATGATGAAAAATCCTTTATTTCTTTACACTGATTCATAGAACTGGCCTTAACTCACATGCGCATAATTCTGTGCATGGGTTTGAGATTTCAATGAACGGTGTTGCCGTGGTTACTAAAAATAGAAATTTCTGTGAATTTTTTTTCAAAATGCTTCTCCTACTGTTTTGGTCTGATTTCAATATAACTTGGCACACACGTAGACTACACTAAAACACATAATTTTGTGCATCCGTTTTTGATTTTGATGAACGGTGTTACCATGGTTACTAAAAATAGAAATTTCTTTGGAATTCTTTCAAAATGCAACTTCTCCTACAGTTTTGGAAGCGGAAGTAACCATGAGGAACATTTTTGTGAAATCACGTGATCGGCGTGAATAAAAGTCGAATAAAATGGTGTTCCGGCATAACTCGAAACGCGGCTATTTTTTAATAATTGTGGTTATTTAACAAACACTGAAAAGCAACGAACCTTTTTCAATGACGAATCAATCAAATTTTATTTATTTGCGTTAAAGTTTCTTTTATAATCTTTTATACTGTATATAATAATAGACATAACAAACATGCACATTTTAAGAATAAAATTTGTAAAATAGAAAATAGTTCCACTTGATTATCTCACCTTATCTCACCTTGCCTTGTCTCCTTATTTCAAAAATTATCTCCCCTTTCAATGATACTTTGGTTAAAGTTGGCTGAGTGGGTCTTGAGAAGAAGTAAAAATGTGAAAAGTTTACAGACGGAGGCACAGCAAGACAGACAGATGGACAGACGAAAGACGGATTATCAGATAAGCTCACTTTCAGCTCAGGTGAGCTAAATATATCTAAAAAATAGATAATAGGGAGTAATTACTTACCACAAGAAGTAACGAGTTCCATTTGTCAATAACAAGGGTAAAAAAGTAGAATAATGGATTTGACATCTGCATTTTGGTATGCAGTAGTTAATGGATTTCTCGTACTGTTATTTGATGCATAGCAACACAGATATGGTATTAGATTAATCATGTAATCCGAAATTGGTTATTGTAAATTCTTCACTTTATAGTTATCCCAGTATTTTTCCTCTTTCATGATAGGGTACCCATCCAGTTTCAAAGTAATGTATATCTTTAGAAGCTAACAGAGTTAGGCCTGTGAAAAGGTTTAGCAGAACATGATTGTAATTTTGCTATCGCATACATTAAATTTACCCCACACCAAGGAAAGCATTGTTTACTGGCCTAATAAAAGATTGTGTACAGGGGTTTTCAGATTTACTACCGATTTATTTCTTTAGTAAACTCACTATAAAATCGAATATCCAGGGGTATTTAATTTTTACCCTGTCTGTCTGTTCGTCCGGAATTGATAAAACCTTTGGTCATATCTTTTGAACAGTTGAGCTACTGCTTTCATATTTCACGTGTATCCGTATGACATCTATATCATACGTTTATGAGGTTCAAATAAAAGAATCTTATGGCACACACAATCAAATTAAAAGTAACAGAATATCATGGAAAATATTTTTTGTCGTCAATGGCTTTAGCCATAATATCATATTTTTCTATTCACTGATACAAAATAGAATGACCTGGTAAAATTTTATCTTGTATTCATGACAAACAATGTCTCCTAACAAAAAATTACCATGATCAACTACAGTTTACTATTGTATTCATAACAAACAATATCCCTTAACAAAAAAAATACTAAAATCAACTATAACTTACTATTGTAACTATAACGAACTATTGTACTGGATTGATTTTAAATTCTTTTTAACCACATTAAATCAAAGTTTTCACTATAGTAAATCAAAATAAGAAGGTTCTTAATTTGATACCAAAGTTAAGTAAAGCATTAAACTATAGATTACTGTATTGAATTTTTGTTGGGTTTGTCAGGTATCATAAAGTGATTGTACATGTGTTTGAGTATACTAGTAATTGATTCTTTTACTTTATTAATTCAAAGCAACTGAACAATGACACAAGTCTTTTATTACTTACAATGCGGGAACATCTTGAATGAAGAACAAATACACCATTTACATATATAAAAAAAATCACCTTGTGACTTGTTAAACAATAAACATAACAGTTTAGCAGTATTTTATATTAAAGATTTCAACATTTTGTCATTGATACATGTAGAATGAAACATATTTGTACAAAATAATGTAATTGTAAGAGCCTTTTAAATTTGTTTTCTAAGGCATCTTAAAATCCTCTGTCCTTTTACAGTCAATTGTCATACCAAAATAATTAGGTATATGCTATTATTTGGTACTCTGAAATATATTGAAATGTTACATTCCTGTGACCTTCTGTTCGAATGTTGACGTCAACTCATTTGTTGTTTTTTTTTATTGGTCCTTGTAAAATTAATAGAATGTTTAATTGTAATTAGTTGTTGTCTAGAATCCTGGTTCTTGGATTAACCTATATCTCAGGTCTAAGTATCAGATCCTAGAAACGAAATTATGGCTTTTCCTTAACGAATTCAGACTAGTTTAACAATGAGCACATTCATGTACACTGTAGTCGTGCTTGTTGCATCCTTATCTTCGAGCTTCATTTCTGCTGGTTTAATTTCTTGCACACAAGACAGTATTGATTTCACCATTTCATGCTGTTCTTCCATTGAGTTTACAACAACGACGACGACGACGACAAGACGACAACGACAGACAACGGAAATTTTTGATCAGAAAAGTTCACTGCTGGTTTAATTTCTTGCACACAAGACAGTATTGATTTCACCATTTCATGCTGTTCTTCCATTTTTATTCTTTCTTTTACGACATCTTCAGTTTTCCTTTTTTTGGCCCTTGTGTGAATATCAGTAATATTAACCAAGTACATCTTTTCAGCGAAAGTTTCCAATTCTTGGCAGGTATCGAGATAATCGACAAGTATTTCTGATTTATGACTGCGGGGTGGAAGCAGAGCTGTCAAACTATATGAAACCAAGCAAGTGAATTGAAATTTTCATATCTTTTTCACTTTTATTTGAAAAGAATTAAATTATATTTAATTGGTTTATCTAGTAAGTCTTCTTAAAGTTACAGATATTTAAATTTTCAAGTATTCAAGAAATGTTCTAAGATTTATATTCTTA